GCACGGTGGGTAATTCTAGTCAACTTTACATATCCATGAGTTTTCAGAGCACCCCTTGAGGTGCTCTATGGATTTGATGGATCTGAGAGTTAGATCCACGTTTTTTGCGGATCTGGAGTTCACGGAGCTAGAGCGTTTGCCTGAAAAAAAATTAGGAGCGGAGCTATTTTTTAATCTGAAGCTGCGTGGAGCTGTGCCAAACCGGCCCTATGTTTGGTAGAGCTCCGGCTCCAGTCAAAATAGCTCCAGTTGTGACTTCACCTGTGGAGCATATTCACTTGAGGAGCTGAAACAGTTTGTTAGACCGTTTGGCAAAACAGCTTCGAAGAGAAGAAATGTCCATAACACTTTTTTTCTTTTTTCTTTTCATTTCTTTTCGCAACCTGTCTAACCACACGCGTCTCAGCCTCTCATGCATCCGCATCTCCCGCATCCAGCCATGGCGCAGTCCCAGAGCCGAAGCCATCCGCATCTCCGCATCCAGACGGACGCGGTGCCAGAGCATCGAGTCATCCGCATCACTGCATCTCAGCTCCTCCGCGGCCAGGCGAGCTCGCCCGCGCGTGGCCCGGCGAACCGGCGACCTAGCACCCCGACGGAGCCGCTCCTCCTCGTACGTGCGCTCTTCCCTGCGCTCGTCGCCGCCGCGCCGCCTGAGACCCTCGCCGTGTGTCCGCGTCGTCGTCCCTTCCCGTGCCGGCCGCGCCTCCCCTGACCGTGCCCGCGCTCCTCCGCAAGGGCAAAGACGCCAGTGCGAGTCAAAGCCGGTGGGAGCTAGTATTTTTGGCTCCTCTTCTCTCTCCTTCCTTGTCTCAGCGTGATTTCAAGAGCTCTTGGCGGGGAGCGTTTTCGTTTTCTAGCGTTTGGCGGAGGGAGCTGCGGAATGGCTCTGGGAGCCGGTACAGAATCTGTACCAAACAGGCATTCGCCGGGTGAGCACTGAATCTCCTTGCATGGATGGATCATTTTTAGGGTCAGTTTGGTAGAGCTCCGGCTTCAGTTAAAACAGTTTCAATCGTGGATACATCTGTGGAGCAGATTCACTGGAGGAGCTGAAACACTTTTTTGAACCGTTTGGTTAAACAGTTTCTCCTAACATATAAAAGGATAAAATGACGATGATACCCTTTTCTTTTCTTTTCTTTTCTTTTCTATTTCCCTTTCTCTCTTTTCTTTATTTTATTTTGCTCTCTCTTTTCTTTATTTTATTTTCTCCTCCCTTATCTCTTACTATTTCTCTCTCCTCATCCCAACCACGTGTCGCTGGTTCTCTTCCATCGCTGTTCGCTGGCCAAAAGCCGCAAGCTCTGCGGCCTCGGGCGTTGTGTCGGCCACTGGTCGTGGCCGCATCTCCGCACCGCCCTTGCCGGCCCTCTTCGTCGCCTCCGCGCATGCGCCGGCAGCGGCGGCCACGTCCCTGTGCGACCCCTGGCGGCTGTCTTCTCCACACCCGTCTCCTCCACGACCGGCGACCATGGCCGTCTTCGTCCGCGCCCGTCGTCTTCAGGTGCGCCCACGCCTACACCCGGGGCAAATCCGCCCAGGACCCACACATCTGGTAGGAGCCGGGCAAAGCTCGATTTTTTTTGGCTTCAATTGACGGCGCTAGCATGTGAGGGCGCGAAATACGGAGATCCTCCGTCGGAGCTGGTCCGTTTATGGCCGTTTGGCAGAGGAAGCCGAAAAACTGCTCCAGGAGCTGCCTCACCAAACGGCCCTCAGATTAAAACTGAAAAAAGGAGGCGAGCCGAACGGAACAGAGAGAGCTAGCGGTCTTACCCGTGGGCCGTGGCGCCATCGGGGGTGCATCGCGCTAGCTGGCTGCAAAGCGGAGGCGCAGTCAACTCCAAGTCACGGGATACATACATCTGCAGCATCAGCATGGGTGCGATCGAGACTGATTCTGTCTGTCTGATGTGCCGTGTGCGTGCAAGGAAGGACGTCCGCCCGCCCGTCGACCCCACCGCTGCTTTAGCCGCCGAAGCTGACGCACGGCTCCGAATCTATCCTTCTCCTTCCCATTCCCATCCGTCCCCTGCCGCGGGCTCATCTTGTTCCTGCAGACATCACAGCCAGCAGAGGAGACGACATGGGCGGGCCACGCGACGAGCTAGATGCCCGGTCCCCGGTGCGTGAACGAAAACGAACAACCTCAAGACATTTCAGTAGGGCAGGGGCGTCAAGCAAAGCAACCACGCCCACGCACCATCAGATCGCAATCAGTGGACAGCTATTCAATTGGGCGTGGATTAATGAAGATAAAGATCGCGTCGTCGGTCGGGTAATATAAGCTGCCATGATTAATTGATTAGTGCGTGGTACTGTGGCTGATGGTCTGATGATCAACGCCCTTGGCTCATAAGCCGTATTTTTTCAGCTAACGAATAGTATTTTTCTATCGCAACAAATCAGCCAACAGTATTTTCAGTCATGGTTTATCAAAGCAGGGCCAAGAGGCCTCTTGCCTCGTCCTCAAGACAAGCAACAGCGTTTGGGAGGGAGCTGCGCGCCGCTTGGCAAGTCAGGAGGAGGAACAAGGACATATGCTGCTGCAAATAACAAAACATTCCCTTGCTTGTTGTCTTGCTACCTCCTTGCTTAGCGAGAGTGCAGTGCAGCGCAATTCATGGTTGACATGGCGATTGGTCGCTCAGACATGCAAGTTCTACATCCTACACAGAAAGGGACAATTTGTCTGCTACTACTACTAGTCCATGCTAGCGGATGCCTGATGGGAGACGAATTGGACCTCTTAGAAGAAAATACTAGTAGTACTGTAGTACTAGGCATATATACTGCCTGTCACTACCATTAGTTATTAACGCTACAACAGATAAGAGCATGATCGATCCTACCATCGCATACGACGCTTGTGATGCAAGGCCTTGTTTAGATTAGGTTTAGAAATAGTATTTGGCACTGTAGCACTTTCGTTTGTATTTGATAATTATTGTCTAATCATAACCTTACTAGGCTCAAAAGATTCGTCTCGTAATTTACAATCAAACTGTGTAATTAGTTATTTTTTTTATCTACATTTAATACTTCATGCATGTGTCTAAAGATTTAATGTGACGAAGAGAAAGTAAAAAAACTTGCAATCTAAACGATGCCCAAATTTTGGGCGTTAGCTAGCTACCTAGCCAGCCAGCAGCTCGTGCACTGCAAAAACCTGCTGGCTGGGACCGGGACCGGGACCGCATCCAGCTTTTCCCTGCATCCCTGCACTCCTGCAGATTGCTCTCATCATCGAACTGTCAAGTGTCAACTAGTAGGACCAAAAGTTCCCGCGTTCAAGTAGGAGCAGTAGCCTTGGAAGAAACACACACCTGCTCATGCTGACCTGCTGGAGTATCGTATCGTATCCAGGATGCGGTCGGAGCCTCGGAGGTCGGAACTGACAAGTGCTTCACGGCCTTGGATTGGATCATCCAGAGATGATCAGCAGCAGTCAGCCAGCAGGCGACGGACATGTGACTGGCCATTCCTCGTGCATGCTTCTCGCCAGATCTCGGTCTGTACTGCACCCTCACAACCTGTCAGATGCTTTCTTTTTTCTTCTTCTTTCTGCTGGAGACTGGAGATCAGGAGATGCAGATGCTGCTCATTGTTTTCCCCTTGTCCGATAGTACGATCCAGGTCCAGAAGCTGACCATTTGGCATGCATGTCCAAGTAGGAACGTGAAAAGAGCATGAGCAGTGTGTGAAAGGGCAGAAAGCCAATCTCTTTCCCAATGATAAAAGCAGAGATCTCCCTCAATCAAAAAAAAAAAAAGAGAGAGAGAAACAAAGAGAGAAAGAGTATCCCTACCTTTGGCCGGTCAGAAAAGGCAAGGGATGAACTAGTGCCTTCTGCCGAATAACTTGTCGAAGGGTTATCTGCTACATCCCATTTCCACAGATTTCTTTCCTCTTTCTGCCTTGACAGGTCGCGGAGGCAAAGGATCTCACGAGGATTGGTTGCCGGCCGAGAAGATGTTCTTCCCTTCTGTATGTACTCAAAAATACTCGATCCCGTCCGAGTTCTTGCCTTCCTGCTGCCTGCCTGCCCCCATCCAAGATAGGAGTAGGCCAGGAGCAAAACACACGAGCGAGCAGCCGCAGGGCATGATCGTGCGAGCGCACGTCCCTGTCCGGAGTCCAAATCAGCCCTATCGCCGGCCGGACTCGCCCGCAGGCCGCGCACCCACAGGAAGCTGACCGCAGCAAAGCGCGCCGAAAACCAGTCCAATCAGTCATACGGCTGGCCTGAATTGAAAACAGGACAGCGCCTCAGATCCGTTCAGGGCTTGGAGCTGTAGTACTCGATTAGGAGTACTCGTCGTCATGAAAAACCAGTCCACGCCACTGCCAGATACGCCGACGCCGACGGCCCCAGGAGACGCCGGGACAGGAGCAGGAGGAGGACGAGTACATGAGCAGCCCACGGCTCCGCCCGGCCGGCTCGCCGCGCCCCTGCCAAGGTTCGTCTGGTCTCCGTTGCTCCGTCCGTCCGTCCATACGATCCGGTTTCCGTTCGTTCACTTCACCCATGCACGGACGCGCCGAAAGCAATCAATCAGTAGGAGTAGTACGCGAAACTGGCAATGATCAGTGAATCCCCTGCTATTACTGGTAGTTATTGCTAGCTGCCATGCCAAAGCTTGGACCTTTTCGCAAGCGGGCGCATCCAGGTCCAGCCAAGCCATGCAGACGCATGCGGATGCGGCCCATCCGTCCATGGCAGAAGCAGAACGGCAGGCAGTAGCCGCCCACCATTAAAAGAAGCAGCAGCAGCCACAGAGAGAGAAATCGCATGACACGGGCAGAGCAGGGCTACCTATACCCACCACGCGCTTCCTCCCTCGGCCCTCGCCCTCACACAGTCACACCTCCTTGCTCTCGCCGGGCCCGTGCCCGTCACACTAAACCCCCGGCCTCGCACGCACCTACCCTCAGTCACCTCACCCCGGCTTCTTCTCTCTGTGTGTCGGTGTTCCAGCAGGGGCAACAGAAGGGGGATGGCGAAGCGGCCGGCCGTGCTGTGGGCGGCCGCGCTGGCGGTGCTGCTTCTGTTGGCGGCGGCGTGCACGGCGGCCGCCGCCGTGACCATCTCGCGGAAGCGGCACCATCGCGGCGGGGCGTCGGCGTCGTCGGCGGCGCGGTCCTGCGACCCGTTCGCGGCGGCGGGCGCGTGGGTGGTGGACGAGTCGTACCCGCTCTACGACTCGGAGCGCTGCCCCTTCATCCGCGACGAGTTCGCGTGCGCGCGCTTCGGCCGCCCCGACACCATGTACCTCAAGTACCGGTGGCAGCTGGACCCGCCCTGCGCCCAGCCCAGGTAATTAAATTCTGCCGGCCGCGTCTAGCTACCGGAATGCTGAAATCCTCATCGGTGGTGAACGTGAAAAGATTTGGAAAAAAAAATTCGACTGTGTGATCGCGACGTCGCTCGTGACGATGAAGGTTCGACGGCGCGGCGCTGCTCAGGATGTGGGGCGGCAAGACGGTGATGTTCGTGGGCGACTCGCTGGCGCTGAACCAGTACGAGTCGCTGCTGTGCATGCTCCACGCCGCGGCACCCGGCGCTCGGACCACCCTGTCGCCGGCGTCCGGGAAGATCGACCCCTCCTCCACCGTCCGCTTCGAGGTACGTCTTTACATGCATGCATCGTTCGTTCGTGCCGACTGGATTCCATCTGTCGCCCGATCGACTCGGTGCGTAGTTTGTTCGGTCCTGGCCCTGGTCCGGTAAAAAGCTGGGTCGGCGGTTGCCGGCAGCGTTGGGCATCATGACATGAGTGGACGTGAACTGGGCGCAACCGGTGGGTTAAACCAACCGCGCCCGGTGCTGCCCCTGTCGGTCGACGGGGCCCCGGCGGCCGCGTCGGCAAGTCTGGGCAGATCCCGGAGCGTGCGTGCGCCGTGTTCGCCTGCGCCTGGCTGGTGGCGAGGCAACGGGAGCGGGACCCGGCTCGGCGCACCATCAATTCCCTTGGTGCGCGGGCGGGCGGGGCCGGGGCCGGGTTCGCTGGCACGGGCGGCGGGCGATCACGCCTGGTCCGGACGGGAACCCGCGGTGGGGCGGGCCGTGGGGGTGGCCTAAAGCACAAGTGAACCGGAAGGAAAGCAGGGGGTCCCCGTGACGCGAGGTCGTCGCCACACGACTGGGACTGGCAGTGCCAGCCGCAGCTGCCCGCGCCTGCTGAAACCCTGCACGTCTTGAGGATTGGTCGCGGTGTCCGTATCTGAATTGTTTTATTTGTTTATTGTTCCTGTAGTCTTTGATTTTTCTACTTTTGGTCTCGTTTAGTACGGAAGATGGATCAGGCAGAGCAGAGCGGTCGGGCAGAGCAAATGGCCAAACTGAGCTCAGCTGGGCTGCAATGGCGGGATCTACCACCCAGCTTCGGTCCTGTCCGCTTCGGTCGCGTTTCGATGTGTGCCCCGTGCCCGAGTCAGATGGTCTCGTTTCGATGTGTGCCCGTGTCAGATGGTCTCGTTTCCTAATTTCCTGCCAGCTTGGTTTTGTTTTGTACGCTGCCTTTTCGTTTTCATCTCTCGTACGCACGCGCGGCGCATCTCCCCTGCCTGCCGCCGTGCCGCGCGGCGCCATTGAGCGCCGACCGCCGACACGCCGCACGCAAGGGCACGGGCACGTTCCAGGCTTGCTTGGAGCGGTTGGTTAGGGGATGTGCCGTGCTGTGCTCCATTTCCGTTTCCATGGCATGATGACATGACTGCTCGGTGACGGTGAGTGACATTGACGGCCCTCGTTTGTTTGTTGGATGACGGTGCGAACAGGACTACAACGTGACCGTCGTGTACTACCTGACGCACTACCTGGTGGACCTCGTGACGGAGGCGTCCGGCCGGCGCGTCCTCAAGCTGGACACCATCGACCAGGCGCGCGACTGGCTCGCCGCCGACGTGCTCGTCTTCGACTCCTGGCACTGGTGGCCGTACACCGGACCCAAGCAGCCGTGAGCTACTAGTGTTCCTTCCTTCCTGGCTTCTCTGCCTCGTATATATAGGTAAAGGTGTCTGAATTGATCTCATTCTCATGCTGTGCAGCTGGGACTACATCCAGGTGGGCAACACGGTGGTGAAGGACATGGACCGCACGCAGGCCTTCACCAAGGCGCTGCACACCTGGGCCAGGTGGGTCGACGCCAACCTTGTCCACACCGACACCAAGGTCTTCTTCCAGGGATCTCGCCCTCTCACTACAGGTAAACACTACGCCAGCCAGCCTTTCTCCCATTCACTCTGCTCAGTCAGAAGAACGGCCACGGCGGCCCCATGTCCGTCCTTGCTCCTCCTGGCCGCTGCAACAGCACAACTGAACCACCGCAGAAAGCCACCAACTCGCCGTCCTGAGACACTTCACATGCTCGCATCGCGCCCGTCTCCGTCCAGTTGTATTTATGAACCACGCATGCATTGCATCAATGGCAAGTTGGCAACAGCACACACGCACGGCGGTTGCGATTTCCAAGCACGTGACGCCGCCGCCGCGACGTTGCCTGCAAGCTGCAAGCTTGCAACTGCTGGCGCCATGAGCTCTGCACCTCACTCCAGCCCGTGTGACCGTGTCGCGTGCGTGCAGGGGCCAGGACTGGGGCGCGTCGCCGAAGAAGACGTGCATGGGGGAGACGCAGCCGCTCAATGGCACGGGGCCGTACCCGGGCGGGCCGATCCCGCAGCAGGCGATCCTGAGCGGCGTGCTAGCCGGGATGGCCAAGCCCGTCTACCTGCTCGACTTCACCTACCTGTCGCAGCTGCGCAAGGACGCGCACCCCACCAAGTACGACGGCGGCATCTTCGGCGGCGACTGCACGCACTGGTGCGTCGCCGGGCTCCCGGACACCTGGAACGTCCTCTTCTACGCCGCGCTCACCGGGCAGGACTGATTGATGAGTCATTAGTACATTTTTTTTACAGACCGACAGTGTTACTACTGGTATAAGCTAAAGCTAGCTAGGGTGTAGCTCAAATGCTCAATAAGTAAAGGAAAAGATAGCAGATTGATTTGTTATAGTTACAGCGGGGGTCAAAAGATTTTCAGCCCAAACGAGTTGACAGAAGAATGTCAAAACAAAATATTGTAATTACTTCCTGAATTCAATTGGCAAAATTTCTGGGGGTGGTTTATACAAACGAGGAAAACTCATTTCTTGAGCAATCTACTTGTGAGTTGTGACTCTGCAAATTTACCGAGGTTATTGATTTCTTTTTTTTTCATTTTCGTTCAAATGGAGTTTCTTTTAGATTTTTTTTAGCAACATGGAGTTTCTTTTAGATGCTTTGTGTACTGGGCCTATCAAATTTCGACTAGGATATAGCATACAGGCACAATAGCTATTTTGGTAATTCAACTATTACTCGAGGCTCAATTTCATCCTTAAACTTTCAAAACGTCCGTTTAGGTCCTCAAACTTTAGTTTTAGGCTCAATTTTATTCATAAAATATCAAAGTGCATTTAACTTTTATTTTCAACTCAATTTTGTCTATTAAAAAAGAAAACTTTATATTTTAGGCACAATTTCATCCATAAATTATCAAAACTATAGATCTTCTATTGTTTCAATATATCCATGTATTCTTAAAGAATAAGTAATGTTCGATGCAACTGTAATTGCTCCCATAAATATCACTTAGTCGGATATATATAAATGGTACAATTACAATGTAACACTAAAAATAACAGCATGAAATTATTAATGGCCACGAAAGAGTTTTTGGATGAATATTTTTTTTCTACCTCCAATCGCGGGTGGTTTTGGAGCTAACCAGGAGCAACAGTGCAACGTTCCACGTAGAACGTAGACAAAGTTGAGTTGAAAATAAAAGTTTAAAGAACAAAATACACTTTGATGGTTTATAAATGAAATTAAGCATAAAATGCAAAGTTTGAGGATTAAAACGATCATCTTCTTAGTTCTAGAATGAAATTGAGCCTAAAAGTAGAGTTTGAGAATTAAAACGGCCGTTTTAAAAGTTTAGGGTCGATGCTGAGCCTTGAATAATAGTTGAGGGACCAAAATAGCTATTCTGCCTAGCGTATATACTGGGCCGCCCATTCAAGTGAAGCTAGGCTGCTAGCACGCTCTCTACCTGTGGCAAACTGCCTTTTTTTAATTGCGCCCACGGCGTTCTGCGAAATGAGCCAAAAGTGAACGGACATACTCCCCTATTTTATATTAAGTCATTCTAACTTTTTTTTCTTCTAAAAAACTAAAAATAAGTTAGAGAGACAAAGCATCTAAAGTTTGATCAAAATTATAGAGAACTATAGAGATTTATATCATCAAATAGGTATACTATCAAACTATAATTAATGAAGACTATAATTAATGAAGGATCTAATGATACTAAGTTAGTATCATAAATATTATTATTTGATTATACAAATTTGATCAAACTTGAGATATTTTGCATCTCAAAAAAGTTTGAAATAACTTATAATTTGGGATGTAGGGAGTACCATTCTTACTAAAATAGTATAACTTAAGTTAAAGTATTTTCAGGGATATGTTCGCTTAAATTTATCAGCCTGGTTTATCAGCCATGTTATAGTATTTTTTTTCTCATAATAAATCAGCAAACAATGCTTTTCAGCCTGGCTTATCAGCCAAGCGACCCTATACCGTAAAACCTGGTTAAGCTCGTCAAAGAATTGAAGACCACCCACATCGAGTGTGTTTGGTACGTCTCACACTAGTTTCAGCTTCTTGTGACAAGTGTCACTCTGTAGCATGAAGCTATTCCAAATGCCGAGGAACCGCCAAATGAACTATAAGGCATGGCTGAAAGTACGACTGGCTGGTTTGGTATGAGAGAAAAACATTGTTCAAACCGTGGATTATAAGCCAGATACGAGCGAATAAACCGAAACGAAGAGGCTGTATAAGCTAGCTTAGCAGGGTGGAGTAGCTCAATAAGTAAAGGTAAAGATAGCAGATTGACTTGTTATAGTTACAGCGGGGGTCAAAAGTTTTTCAACCCAAATGAATTTATAGATGAATGTATTGTAATTCATTCCTGAATTCAATTGGCAATTTTTCTGGGGGTGGTAAAGTGGTGCGATGTATGGCCTCGTGATTGATACGGACGAGGAAAAGTCATTTCTTGAGCAGTCTACTTGTGACTCTAGGAAATTTATCAAGGTTATTTTGAATGATTTCTTTTTCATTTTCGCTCAAACGGACGTTTCTTGAGATGCTTTATTCGAGTACTACTTGCCAAAATTTCTGTTAGAAGGTAGAGAGAGATCGAGTGATGCAAATGCTTCTCAGTTGTATTTTCAATGAACAGTGTATACATACATACATACATATATATATATATATATATATATATATATATATATATATATATATATATATATATATATATATAGAAGATCCATGTGAACGGTTACAAGTGTGAAAAAAAGAGGAGTGAAAAGACACCCCTTGAATTAATCCCTAATTGATCACTAAATAATAATTCTCAACAATTTCGATTAGGATTTGTAGGGTTCATAAATCCGGGGTCCCTCATAGACCGGCTTTCCAGCGAAGGCTCGGCCCAACAGATAACGTTGTGAGCCAACACGCAACTCTTGGGTCGGCCCAAGTACATAAACGACAGGCCAGAAGGATAATCCAATCTCCGACCGGAAGGTCTGTCCGAGGAGGAACGGCGCCCCTTTCCGACTCCGGCCCGCCTCTCCGACCGGAGCGCTCGCTTTGGTCTCCAGCCCGCCTTCGGACCGCCCCTCTGACCGGAAGGCCAGCCAAAACACCACTTCGACTCACCCGCTTCTCCGACCGGAAAACGCACGAACCCACACCATAGCCTCCTCTCGATTGGCCGCGATCGAGCCGACTATGACCAACCGACAGGGGACGCCCGCTCGGTAAGGGCCAGGAAACGGACGGAGAAAGTAAGGCAGCGCATACAAGTCAAACTGCAATACCAGGAACTGTGCACTGTGGTAAATGCCATACAAGACCTGCGACCTCCACAGCACAGAATCTGAAGTAGTGTTGTAGGCACCGACATTTTTCCCTACAATATTGTGGGCGCCATCAACTCCCATACCAGACAAATACAGTAAGGCTCCCCCCACGTGCCTCTGCGACATCGACAAGTGTTGTGGCGCCCGGTATTTACAAAGATCTGCAAAGCGAACATGGTAAAACCCCTTGCATGCCTCTTGGTATCAACAGTGTGGCAAGCACTGACGTCTGCCATACCTGAAGAAGACGATGTAACCTCCCACGTGCATCTGACACTAAACAATATTGTGGGCGTCTACCATCATCTTGTACCCGCCGGCGTAGGCAACAAGACTTAGTAGTATACGTACTCTCTCCCTCTCTTGTAAGGTCATCCCTTCATCTATAAAAGGGATGCGCTCTCCCAAAAGACTCAAATTTGATTCGGATCGATCAAGTTTACTAGTACACATCAATGTAAACCATCGAGTTTAAACTACGAGCACACGCCCGAACACATAGCACATAGTGGAGTTTTCGTCACTCTCGACCCCTAAGACCAGAGTCCGACCGGATTTCTTGTACCCCCTATCTTTCTCCTTCTTGTTTGTAACCCTACTGCAAACTTCGAGCACCTGGGCTTAAGAATAAAGTCACCGACCGACTCAAACTGGACGTAGGGCACGTTGCTTGAACCAGTATAAACCCTATGTCATTGAGTGCTAGGCCACATCCGATCACAATGTATGGCAAAACTACAAATATTTACGCGTTGGTCACTTTCTACACCGACAGTTGGCGTCGTCCGTGGGGAAGACACTGTACGTTCAACACTTTTTGGTCATCGGATAGCCCACTTTTCCGCCACCTTCGCCATGGCGGGCTCAAGCGATACGACTCGCTTCGGCTCACTGGAGTTTCCCATACTCCCACCTATTGGGATGCGGGTCCCACCCGTCTTCGAGCCGTCCTATGCCTTCCTCTTCGAAAGCCTAGACTTTGTCGCCGACCGGCTCGGCATACTACACCTCCGCAAGGAGGCCACCATCCCGGTGCCCGTCGAAGGGGCACCCCCTGCCGGCTCGGGGACACCCAACGACTTCAACGACGAGGCACCTGTGCTTCATTCCGAGTAAACTCTGCTCAAACCCCGCTGTGAGTAATATACATGCTGTTATTTACTCGCTATTCACTATCTTCCGCCGATTATCCAAAGGAACCCCGTTGTCTCTGACGCGACCGCCATGCGACCAGTTCCCCTACGGCCTCGCGTCCCCCGCGCATGCGTACGCCCGGGCACTCCAAAGGAAGCCGATGCCGCCCCCTCTCACGTCCAAATTCGTGGGGATTGAAGCTATGCTCCCACCTGTTTCCTCGACCTCATGGATGACGATGTTGAGAGTGACGGCTCCTGCATCGGCGACGTGGCACCTAGCCACCGTTCGTCCTAGGAGTGCGCTATGGCAGACGCTTCAAGACAGCCACCAGTGGTAGCAAAGTCCTTGTAGACTAACACCCCTCTGGACCCTCATGCGGGGACCCTCGCTCTCACAAGAGAGCATGGCGAGGAGCTACGACAACAGTGACAGAACTAGCCGCCACCTGCGCCGGCGCGCTCGATGCACCACGCTACGCCCCGTGCGTATAAACCAGCGAGCGGCGCTCGGGGTCACGCCTGCCAGGTCCAGCGCAACATCATGGATGGGGGGAACGATCCGCCATAGTTCGCTCGGGCTGACCAGATCGTCGCCGCTGTAGTGAAGCTTCTACGTGGCCTTCCCAAGCCGAACAAACCCTAGGAACAGGCGATCCATCGAAACCTCCAGGCACTGGTGGAAACCGCCGCCGTTCAATAGGCGGAGAGCTCCGCATCATGACACCGACTCGTGGCCTCTCCCCCCACCAGGGGAGTGGGGACGCACCAGAC